GTGTGGGGGTTAAGAGGATTTCACCAGAGACAGGAAGGAGCAGAACAGGCAGAACTACTGAAATACACTGCTGAGAGTGGGTGAGACAGGAGAGGTTTGCTGTGCCATGTGGGTCATCTGGACTTGATATTTATGCAGAACTGTATATGCCTTTCTGTTAATCTACCCATCTATACTCATCTATTTATAATACTGTTTTCATTTTTATCTGATGCTTCCTGTTTTCTTTTGAATACTAAATCTTTCAGAGCAGTATCACCCTTTCTAAAGAAAGCAGTGATTCACATACTACATATACATTTGTTCAGTACATTTATTTTCCCTTCCTAAGACACATTAGAAATGTTAATTGTAAACTTTTGAAATTTTGAAAATAACTTTCAAATCCCTAATTCTGCCTTTTGAAATACTCAGCAAGCACCTCAGTAGATAGTTCTACTCTGAACCTTCTGAAATAACAAGAAAAATAAAAAACTCAACCATTAGTACTAGCACATGTGACACAGAGATGCGTAGTGTAGTAGAAAGTGGTTAAGAGAACATAACCTGTTAGTACTGTGAAAGCATTAAAAATAATAAAAAGTCAATTTTCTTTTTTATAGAATTTTACTTTGAAATTTGGTCAGAATTAGTTTGTTTTAGTAAAATTGAGATCTAACCCATTTAACCACTCTTTTAAAATACTTTTAGTATCACAGCCATTTTCTTCATCCAGATCAAAATTATACTCAAGAAGGGCCATTTAGTCAAGTTTGTCAAATGTCCGCTGCAGGTGTTTCTTACCATTGGTCTTTGATGTGTCAGTTTTTGGCTGACCTAGGTACTGATTACTTGCAGTCAAGTGCAACCCTGAGTATGAATAAAGCATTTTGTTTCTCAGCCTAGAGAACCTGATAGGTCCTTACTCTTCATTTCAGTCAGCAAGCTTGTCAATTAACCATATTTTAAAGGTGACCTTTGATTAATACAATCTTCTGTGTGATTGCTATGCTACCTAGGCAAATTATCACTTAAAGAGATATTGTGAATCTCAAGAAGGGAGATAAGTTTTTAAAGACCAAAGGAAAAAATTGTCATTTTTCCTCTTTCGCCTGGACCTTTTAGAAGTGCAGTTCACTACCTTACAGTATTTCCCCCCTCCCTCTCAAATGGACTTGTTAGAACCATACAAATGAATGATAATAAGTTTGTTTTACCTTCTACTTCATTTTTACCAGCCAGGAAACATTTCTACCTTATAAATACATACTTAACCTGTCTGTCTAATACCCAGAGCCACAGGAAGAGATTTATTCAAAGGTAGCCTTGGAGTTTTTCATTCATATCTTTTTCATTTGTGAATTGAAAACAAGAGATGTTTAATTGCATGACAAAGCTGTCTTTTAGTGTTAGAAAGTTTGGTTAGTTTTTGAAAGAAAACCATATTTGTATGTGTAGAATTTGCCAAAATAAACTTGTGTTAAAGGGTGAGAAATGGTAAATGCAATGTAATAGAAACTTGAGGCCATTTTTTTTAAGCCTAGAAAATGGCTTATTGGAAGTATTTATGCTTAATGAACTTTACATGCCAGTTCTTAGAAATACTGTTCTCAGTCCAACATGTAGTACATTTAAATTTTTTTTTTTTAAAGATTTATTTATTTGTGCATACAGAACTAGGGTACAGGCCAGAGGCTCAGGGGTGGCGAGAGGTTTCACCAGAGACAGAGTGGAGAGCAGAACAGGCAGATCTACGAAGTACACTGCTGAGGGGAGCAGCGGGCGGGTCAGGAGAGGTCTGCCACGCTATGTGGTCATCTCCAGGGCAGGCGGGAATCGAACTCATGCTGAAGTGGCTTTAGCTTCTCAGTGTAGTGCTTTAACCCGCTGCGCCACCAGGGAGGGCCAGTACATTTAAATTTAATAAATATGTAGCCTTAATGTGATGACTTTTCCTTCATTTGTGTTGTTCCTCAGAGAAAATAGACAAGCTTTTTTTTTTTTAACATCATTCTTCATTTTGTGCATTTTTTTTTTTCATCTCAGTTGTTATCCCCATAGGCATCTCACCACCAGTTCACCTGTATGCCATCGCCAAAGTCCAGTGCACTCTTGCCCACACGTTCTGATCCCATTCTCCCTTTCCACCCCCATAAAATGTCTCTGGTTTGTTTTTGTAGTTGTTCTTTGTTTTCATTTTTACTCTATTACATTTGTTTCTTGTCCACCCTCCCCCGCCCCCACCCCCACCTCCCTTTCACTGCTGCTATGAGTGAAACCATCTGGTATTTTTCTTTTCTTTCTGGATTATTTCACTAAGCATGATCCAGCTCCATCCATGTTGCTGCAAAGGGCATGAGTTTATCTTTTTTATGATTGCTGAGTAATATTCCATTGTGTATAGATACCACATCTTTTTAATCCAGTCATCTATTTTTGGTCATTTGGGTTGATTCCACATCATGCCTATTGTAAATAGAGCAGCAATAAACATGGGGGTGCAGGTGTCCTTTTGAGTCAGTGTTTTTGTGTCTTTTGTGTAAATACCTAAGAGTGGGATTGCTGGGTCATATGGAAACTCAATTTTTAGCCTTTTTTTTTTTTTTAAAGATTTGTTTATTTATACACACAGAACTGGGGTATAGGCCAGAGGGGTTGGTGAGAGGATTCACCAGAGACAGAGTGGGGAACGGAACAGGCTGACTGATGAAGTACACTGATGAAGGGAGCAGCAGGCAGGTCAGGAGAGGTCTGCTACGCCATGTGGATCACCTCCAGGGCGGAGATTGAACTCATGCTGAAGTGGCTTTATCTTCTTGCTGCTGTGCTTTAACCTGCTGCGCCACCAGGGAGGGCCCTATTTTTAGCCTTTTGAGAACCCTTCAAACAGATTTACATAGTGGTTGTATCAGCTACACAGCTTTTTAAAAGGTATTTATTTTTTCATAAAACAATAGAATGAATACTTCTGCAGACTTAAAGTAGGTATGTCTTTTATTATAATTCACTTTTAAATGATTAAGGATCCTGTATGGAAACTTCCATAATTATCAAGGAGTATGTGTTCCATGATGATACATAAAGAAACATCATGGAACCAGAATGACATGAATTAAACTTAATGGTAAAAATAAACTTGTTTCCAGGTGACCACAATGATTCTGGAACATGTGAGGTACAGAATTAAACAGGAGTTCAAATGAAATCCATTACATGTATTTTTTATATTCACTGAGTAATACTAAAATAATTTTTGTACAGTACCTTAGTAGACCAGTGGGCTTTAAGTTTAATACAGTAATGTTCTTGCAAGGTGGTCTTAGATGTTGATTATACTTTCTAAGTAGATTGTTTTCTCATAAGTAGTAACTCACTGAAAGTTATATAATGTATCTTAAATTTTTCCATAGCAATAAGTCACATAGATGCTGTTTCTATAAGGATTTTTGGGTTTACCCGTACTAATTATGATTTTTCTGATGCTGTATAGTATATAGTAGTGATTTTGAAGTTATTTTGGACCTAAACCTGGGGACTTCATGCCTTACTTTATATGAGTTGTATAATAATTAGCTTTCTGAATTTCTATTCAGGTTTTAAATATCTGTGAGTACCTTGAAAAATCCTCTGCATTGTTCCTCAGTTTGACTGCTACTCTGGTTTGATTTTTAAAGAAATAAAAAAGGAATTTTAATTCAAATTGATCAGAGATTTCACATTTCTCTTAAAGCAAGGTTTTTTGAGAAGTAAGAGTGGTGAAGGTATATCTGCTTCTTTTCAAAATAGGCAGATATATGTAAGATTGCTTGCTGAAAACTGAGGTACTGACCCACGCACCAAGAAGCAGCCAGCCGGCCTCTACAGATGTACACCTTTCTCAGCTGCTCTGCCAAGGGTCATCTGTCTGTTTAGAAAACTTTCTTCAGTCTAGCATTGTCAGCCGTGCTGAGGTGAGAGGAAATCTTGAGCAGAAGTAGCTGTGATTTTGCATTAGAATCATTGTGAGCAGACAGATATTTTACTTGCTCACATTCTTCTTGGGAGTTCTTATAAAGCACAATTCTGCTTTTTCTTAATAAACCCAGATTGTATTGTTTTTTTTTTTTTAGTTCCTAACCAGAGTTAAGCTTTCATTTCTTTTTTCCTTTAAGACAGTAATTTTGAAAAGCATGTTTCTAGTTTGTGTTTCCATGAATATGTGAGTCTGAATACATTATGGTAAGCCTTGTTGTCCTTGGGTCTCAGGAGTCTGGAGGAGGTTACTGTCCTCAGACAGTGAAGTTGTTAGACGACAACTGGAACCAGCTGTTTTAATTAGGTCACATGCAGAGGGTGACTGATAGGACTTGGAGGCTGGAAACTGGAGAGGTGGTTGGTTGATACTGACCTGACTGAGCTGCTATGGAATGTCCCGTTTACTTAGAGGAACAACAGCAATTTGATTGTTTTTTTGTAGTCTGTGTTACTAGTTCAGCTTTGTTTTAGGGAACGGCATTTCACTATCAAAATAATCGAAAAGTTGGTGGTCCCTTTATTACTATGTCTTACTGACTTGTGTTGAAAAAATTGTGTGCTCTCCAGCTTTTTGTTACAACAGCTCACTAAGTTAGAATACCGTCCCAGTTTACTTATTCAAGGAAAATTGTTAGGACTTATACTAAAGTTACTATTCATCCAGTTTCTGTTTATGGAAAAAACAGAAATTCTTTCCTTTTGTACAATGCTTAAAATACATACTTAGGTGTCCCATTATCAAAATTAATAAAAGTAAAAAACCTACTGACCATATAGATTTCGTGTCCCATTATCAAAATTAATAAAAGTAAAAAACCTACTGACCATATAGATTTCGTATCTTTTTTTCTTTCAGTATATGCAGATTATGCTAGTTTATTTCCTTTACATTCTATCTTAGGTTTCCCCTCCCCAAGAATTTTTAATTATATAATATGTGGATGGCTGAATTGCTCTTACTTTTTAAAAATCTTCTTTGTTTAACCCTTCCCTGTTTATTTTTCCAGATATGCGGCCCCAGGATTCCTGGCGAGGTCCTCCTCCCCTTTTCCAGCAGCAAAGATTTGACAGGTAATATTAGAACAAACAAAGCTTTTAAGTATTTTCTCATTTTAGCAATTTAGGTTTGGGATTTCCATGCATTGAAACATACTTCCTCCCAAGTTACTCTTGTGCCTGTCCTTTAGGAAAATAAATGTTTAACATATTGAAAAGATGTAAAAGATTACGTTTTCTATACTTTCCTATTTTTCTTACTTCTTGGCCTTTATTTTATTGAGGTTTTTCAGGTGCCATGAAAAATGCGACATGGAGAACTTAAAATTGTATTAGGTTTTGGTCAGGCTAAACAAATTTCTTTTTAGAAGTGTTGTGTGGCTTAATGAGGCATAACTAATGGTGTTCCACTTTTATCATTTCTGTGCTGGCAACACAGCATTAGTACAGACCAACCATTGATTCTTGCTACAAACCTCTTGAAGTCCTAATCAGCTTCTTTGGTACAACTTTTTCAGGGCTGACAAGCCTATTGTAGGGCAGTGTCACTGTAGGTCAGTAGTTATTAGTTGCCACTGAAAACAGTTTCTTTAACTACTTAAGTCTGAACTGAATTAAACGCAGAAGGGACTCAGAAGAGGATTATGGGATCTGCAGTCTAATAAGTACCACAGACTAGGAAGAATGTGACATGGTTTAATAACAAGGGATGTTTGACATGTGTTCTTTCATTGATAACTTGTGTGCTCGTAAGTCAGGTGGTCTCTACATGACAAGACAGCTAGGCATGTTATGAATAATGACATTAACACCCGTTGAATAATTTTTTAAAGGGCAGTTTTAAGATCTATCTTTTTATGCTGGTTTTGCCAGAATTACCCATCACAGTCTTCCTTTGCCTTCCTAATTCTAATCTGGTTTGTTCCCCTTTCCTTTATGATTTTAGCAGTCTGATCTGTTCTGAAGTGAATAAAGCATTGTTATAAACAAGGCTATAAATACTGTTTTCCTCTTATAAAAGCCCTTCCTGTGGAGACTCCAAAATGTCATTATTTTCTTTAAACAGATAAAAGAAATGATGTTATTTGTTTATTATAGTATCAACTACGTAGTGCAAACTGCATTTTAAATATAATACAATTAATAATGTCTTATTTAAAATAAAATGCTTAAAGGCATCATAGGTACTATTTCAGCATCCTCAGAATAGCACCATTTTCAAACATGAAATAAAGGGTACATTTTTTTCTAAATGATATTATCACCTTAGACTGATATCATTAAAAGCTGTCATTCTGCAGTATGTCTATAAAGTTGATTTTTAAGAAAGGCCTTAAAATCAACTCTTGCCTTCCTTGTTGCTTGCTTCCTCCTTATATTGTCACTCACACTGTGTGTTTACAAGGTATCAGCACTATGCTAATAATAATAATAATAAGCTTTTAGAAACATGACTTAATTCATTTCTCTTAGAAACCCTTTGAAGTAAATGTTGTTTTAAATAAACACTTAAAATTATACACTTTTGAAATATATATATTTTTACAGATGAAGTAACTGGCACACAAAAGTTCAGTAGTTTACCTAAGTCTCTCTTACACACCATTCTTCACTAAGGAGCTTTTCACTTGAACAAAGCTAATCTGAATACTTACCTTTGAGTATTATGTTATCGTAAAGCCACAGGGACTTCAAAGTAAAGGATCTACTTTCACTTCCGAGGCACTCTGCATTTTGACAGCTTTCCTTCTCTATATACCTTAAAAGTTTTCTCAAGATCATCACTATTGTCCTAACATCCATTATGTTTTTGTTCTGCTGCCCTAGCCAAGTATTGGTAGTCTCCTGACCGACTTGTATACCCAGCAGATTGGAACAAGTTTTGTAGGGGCATTTTGAATTTAATATGAGTAAGAAACTTAAAATTATGCCTTTAGGCAAAAATTAAATGTGAGCATAATAGAATTTTGTCTTAAATTATCATCACTTTTACCAGTTCACCAATTTATTCATAAAGAAAACAGCTATCCTGAATGCCCCAAGTACAATGCACTTTTCATTTCTGTAGCACTTGTCAGTCTGACCATTCATTCCTTACAAGTCATAGAAAAGAAAGTATAGGCCTCCTTAGTGGTACAGTGGGTTAAAGCACAGCACTATGACTCTATCTGCAGCCATTGCAACATGAGTGCGATCCCTGGCCAGGGAGGTGACCCACATGACATGACAGACTTCTGGCCCATCCCGCTACTCCCCTCAACAGTGTATTCCAGTCACTCTGCCTGTTCTATTTTCCTACTCTGTCTCTGATACATGGGTGTTAAAATTAGTCACAAAAATCCTTTAGAACTCTAACTTGTCATAGTCTAAATTAAAAATACCCAAATTGGTGATCATTATACTCCATATTGCCAGCTTGTTTCTAAAACAGTAATCTAGAAACTTAAAATGCTTTTTTAAAAAATGTTGCAAAGTAGTTTATAATAAACTACTGGGATAAAGTATTGAGATTACCACAAGTTAAAAAGCTCAACTTTGATTAGAAAATATGATATTAAAAACCTACCAGGTGGGCAAAAATATGCAACTGATAAGGGATAATAATCAAGATATATAAAAATTTACACAATTCAAAGAAAAACTATCCAGCTAGTAAATGGGCAGTAGATGTGAACAGAAAGTTCACTAAAAAAGGATATGAAAGAATAATAGATAAATGTTCATCATTGCTTCCAGTAAGAAAGAAGCAGACTAAGTCACAATGGGATACCTGTGAGAATGGTGCATATTAAAAAAAACCCAACAACAAGTGCTGGAGAGGTTGTGGAGAAACCTCTTATAATGTTATTGATGTAAATGTAAACTGGTGTAGCTGTTGGGGAAATCTTGCGTGATAACACTACACCAGCATTGCCCTTTTGGTGTAGCCATTTTGAAAGATGGTCTGGATTTATCTTTAAAAACTTAGTATAGAAATTGCCTATGACTCTTGAGCATCTATCCAAAGATCATAAAACTATCAGTGCAAAAAATATATGTTCTGCAATGCTGGTGGCAATAGCTAATCAGTAAGCAGTTAGATCAGGATGATGTGGTCTGTGCACTGTATGGGGTACTAATCTGCCATAAGGAGAGATGAAATGCAGCCATTTTCAGCAAAATGTAAATTATGTAAAGTAAAGCAAGTTAGAAAGACAAAATACTGGACATTTACATAGAGGATGATGTTTTAAAATACTTAGAAAAGCTAATGTATATTACACTATTGAGCACTCTAAAATTAAGAGGGAGAAAGGACAGGGTGATATCTGACAAGGGGTGGGGAAAAAACTGGAAGACTGATCAAGAAAAAATATGCATTATTACCACTTATGATGTCAAATGTAGTAAGTTGCCTCAGTAGCTACTAATTTTAAAAAGTTATAATGTGGGCACTATAAAGCTAGATGCAGCCACTGCAGCATGAGTTCAACCCCAGACCAGAGAGGTGACCCACATGATGCAGCAGACCTTTCTTATCTCGCCTCATGCTCCCCACAGCCATGTATTTCAGTCATTATGCCTGTTCTGCTCCCCACTCTGTCTGGCAGGTCCTCTCACCACCACCCCCACCTCTGGCCTGTACCCCAGTTCTTGTATGCATAAAATAAATAAAAATAAAAAGTTAGAATGTGTCAACCATAGCAGTTTTATCACATCTTAAAATAGTGTTTTCCAAGGTGAATTCCATGTTACAGTTATTAGTAAATTAATATAAATAGTATAGAAATATGCTAAGCTTATGGGAAATAAAGTCCTTATACTGATAATGAGCAGTACATGTTTGTTCTCTGTTAAATTTTTATTAAATATCTTTATCATAGAAATTATTTTTGTCAAATACATTTTAAGTAATCATTTCAAACGAAAAGGAAGACTTTTTAATTGTGCCTTTGTTTCTAAACTTACTTATACAATGTAAAATATTTAAAGTTGCATTTATATATTACCTTACCAGTAGATTTTCCTGAAACTCAGTTGAGTCTTATCACTCTAAAACTGAAGAGGAAAATTGATCATAATTAATGCAATGTGTGACTTGCATTTTTGTTTGGTAACATAACAGTAGAGCCCAAAAGAGACTGACCCTTCTTGTCTCTGAGCAAAAAAGTTGTTCTCACTAAACAAATGAAGCATATTTACTAAAAATACATTTGTTCTAATAATAAATTCAAAATATAAGTAAAAACCTGCCTGTATGTAATTTCTTTCTGAGATGTAGACTTATTTTTTGTTTTATTTTGATTCACTTACAGCAAATTATATTACTAGAGCTTCGTTTCACTACTAACTGAAGAGTAGCAGTGACCTTTTTAGAGTTCTTCAGAGTTCTTATCATTGAGCTATCACATAAAAATAATTATCTTTGGTGTTAAAAAAAAAAAAAAGCAAGCTCTGAGTGAAGGGAAGAAATAGTGGAGTAGAGAAGATAGGGCATTAAAACCTGAATAGCAGCAAGATTGCCTTACCCAGTGAGCCAAAAAAGAGAATTTTACACCCAATATTTAGAAAGTGAATGCATAGACTTATTTTAGTTATAACTAGTCAGTGTTCCTCTTAACATTTTTAAAAATCCCAAAGCTTCTGTTAAAATACATTTGAGAATTTTGCTTTACTTTGTTCTTTATAGAGACTACCCCCATAAAACGGAATTTGAGGAAGATGCCTCAAGGGAAAAGTTAGGTTTTAAATGGTGATTGCCTTTAGAAAGTATATTTTTTCTGTATTATTTATGACAGCTTTGCATGTAAGTTATGATTTAATACCTCATACCTGTTGCTTTGTATATGTGAAGTTAAAATGGGCACTTGAAGACAATTAAAACATTTCTTTTGACTAGTAATCTGGGCCAGCAACTGGGTTATAATAGCTGTTGAATCTGTGTTCCCATGTAAACTGTACACCAAATGCCAGTCAGCCCATGCCAATTAGTGCTCATGTTGCTAGGTCACCGTGGTCAATTGAAAGCTGCATCAATAGAACTTGAAAAGGTTTCCTCCCAATCAGACCTCCTGACATATTGAGCAGAATAATAGATGGGAAAAAACAGCCAAGTCCCCTACCCTAGATTCAGAATACTCAGCAGTAAGAATTCATTTGCAACCTGCAATTAACTGGAAAGAATGGACTCCAAGAACGAGTCTGGACATTTTTTTTAAATAAAGCCTCATTCTACTGTCTTATGCATGTTTACTCTTCAAATAGCACCTTAAATATAGCCAACTTACTCATCTTAAGTCCAAATCTTTAAGTGCCTAAAGAGGAAATCCCACAACTGAAAATAAAATATTTTTCTTGTTAGACCTTTCTCATCAATGAGCATTTTAACAAATGCTCATAGTTCATGAAGCAGTTAGACTATACTGAATATGAAATGCATAAAGATGACTCTGATATTATATATACCCCTTAGGACAAATCCAAGCAAATTGGATTGTCCTAAAACTTGGAGTTGAAACCTGCCAGTTCTAGACTTCTGACTATATAACAGGCTTGACTTCTAATGGAAACATACTTTTCCACAGAGGCATTGGAGCTGAACCTCTGCTGCCTTGGAACCGGATGCTCCAAAGTCAAAATGCAGCCTTCCAGCCAAATCAGTACCAGATGCTAGCCGGGCCCGGCGGGTATCCACCCAGACGCGATGATCGTGGAGGGAGACAGGTGATGGCAGTGTGGGCTGTGGGATGAAAAGCATACTGTTCATTTTGCACTAAGCCATGCCTCCCAGTACTCTGGATAAGATGCTAATACAGTAGTTCAACTGAATTTAAACTGTAAACAGAATACCTACTTTATTAAATACTTTGAGGTTGCTGAAGATTTTCAGCACAAACCCCCGCTTATAGTTATAGCAACCCCCCCCTATAGTTATAGCAATCAGTGGTAGAATAAATATGGTCAGTCACCAAAGCACATTGTTTATATTTTAAGAGGAACTAGATGTCTGATTATAATTTTGTGGGAACTAAATTTACCTATATTCTTATCAATGTCTCCTGTCTTAATTCTTCCTATACTGCTCCTCAAAGAAAGAAATCTCTCCAGAATTTTCCTAAGAAATTTAAACAGTTGTGAATTGAAATGAGTATAATACTTTTCTAGGCAGATTTAGTAAATGTAAAGTTCATTTCCATGTCTCTTACAGTATTAAGTCTTAGTAATGTCTGTTTGACACAGTTTCTTTGTCCCTCAGCCATTTGATACCCTTCACCAATATTCACGTGCTCTTTTATCAAATCCTGCCAAAGAACAGGATGGGAACAGTGATTCAGAGTGTATGGTGTCTATGGAGTTTGGTACCTGTGGGAATGTAAAGTGGTAAAATCGCTTACCTGGTGCTGGCCTACAAGTCTTTCACAGTGCTTCAAATACTAATTTTTAACTTAGGTTCTTATTTTTCAGACAGCTAAGAAAATTTTTTTGACAACTAAGGTTTTTCTTTTTTACACTTTTTTTTTTTGACATAGGCCTTACAAGTCTCTGTTCACTTTATAAGAAAATAGTCAATTTTTTGAGAGAATAATGGTAACTGTTCTTTAGAATAAGTTCATGGAATTTTGTTTTGAATACTATTAGCCCAAGACACTAAAATTCTTATCAGTAGATTGACTGTTTATGCTACTAGAGTCAAGATAATACTAGTCATTCTAAATAATATTACTTATTGAAATGAAGACATACTTATAACTAGAGGAAACCTAGGAGAATGTTTGTGTAGGCCAATCACCTTATTTTCCAAGTTAGAAAGTAAGACCCTAAAACACATGCAACAAGCTGAGAGCTTGTGTCCTTGTACTTGTGACCACAGTTTTCCTGTTTTTCCTATAAAAGAAATCTTCCCCTTAAAAGAACTGTGCTGTTATAGGAGGTAAAATTCTTACTCACTTAAAAGATAAAAGCCAATTGGTAACTTTACAGTTCTTTCAGGACCTTTTGAAAGTATTTTTCTTTTTTCAGTCTCTCTTCTACTGAGATACTTTTCATAACATTTGACGCACTAAAATTACAGAAATTCATTGTTAAAAACAGTATAATTATGACTTCAATGTATATATAAAGTCTCTATGACTAAAAAAAGCCTTAACCAACATTATAGCCTTGAGAGTCTCTATGTATAACTTATACTGCTGAAATGCTCCGTGTGTGACAACATTGTGAATGTGTTTTCATTTCTGAATACTGGAGGCCTAGAAAAGAAATTGTGATATAAGAGGTGTCACATTTATCATACATTGTACAGAAGTGTTTCTTATACACATTCTAGTATATATTAGAATGTCATTAGTAACTGATTGTTAAAACCACATTTGTTACTTAATGTTCTACTATTATAGATAAATAAAATTCCTATAGTAGATAATTAATTAGGTTGTAACTGAATTAGCAAGAGCTTTTGTTAGTTAAGTAGAGTGATTTGCCTAGTGTAAATATATGGTTTTTAAAATCAGTCTTTTATAAAAAAAAATCATTTCTACAATTAGATATGAAAAGATGATGACATGGGTGCCATACTTACTTCAGTGTGGCTTCAGTTACTTTAGGGCATCTTAGAAAAGATTGAAAGCCACAAAAGTGCTTTACACAAAACAATTAAGTTTAGTCATTTGTATGTAGTTGAAGAAATTTTTTTAAGTGCTTATTAAGGTTTGTTTGCTTAATCTTCACTTGATAACATTTGTACTAATGTTCAGCTTTGCAACCTTTGTATGAATCTATGGACCATAAGTTCCTAATTATAGAGACTTTCCGGTGATACCTTTAAAACCTATTCAGCTTCTTTGTGGTGTGTTTTTCCATACATTTATAAAATTAATTTATTTGTACAAGTGTTAATCAAGAAAATAAATTCTTTCTTTTGCTTATTTTCAGGGATATCCCAGAGAAGGAAGGAAATACCCTTTGCCACCACCCTCAGGAAGATACAGTTGGAATTAGGCTTTTGTAAAGCTTTCCCAAATCCTTGCATTGTTTGTTCTACAATTTTATGCTATTTGTGGAAAGATTTTTTTTCTCAAGTAGTAGTTTTTAATAAAACTACAGTACTTTGTGTATTTCTTTGAATTGTGTATATTTTTACTGATCTGATCTCACTGTTTTATGTTGCTTTCCAAAGATGTGTGTTGCATAATACAGTGGATCTGAATTTATTATTGCTGTAAAACACATTTGATGGAATAGGAAAACTGGTATTTCATTATGGTTAAAAATCATACCAGCTGTGGATTTCAAAACACAGTGTATTCTAGATCATCTAAGATCCATGCTGATTTTTAATGCACAAGAATTAGGTATGAACTCTGGAGCTGGAACACTGAGCCAGCAAGAGTATATATTGTTCAGTATTTCTTTGAAAACATTTCATTAATGTACTTGTCTTATGGAAATTTCTGAACTTTAGTAAAAAAAAAAAAAAACACTTTTGTCTCTTGTGTTCTTACTCTCTTACATTATTTATTTAAGCTTTGAAAATCTTGTCAACTATGTTGGTTTTTTAAATCAGTCTTTAAAAAAATCCAATTCATTTCTACAATTAGATATGAAAAGAAAGCCAATGAAGTAGATTTTAAGAGGCTCTGATTAGCAAGACAACCAACTCTTGGTAGAATGTCTGTCAGCTGTTTTGACTAACTTACAAAAAGTGTGAGAAAGAATTTATTTACATTTTACCGCTTTCATGTTGACTTATGTTCCAGTTTTAGTATGTATTTTAAATCTAGGAAAAGTGGAAAAGTTAGGTCCATGCTCCTTATCATACTTTTTGCATTATTTTGTAACATTTCAATTTGTACTTTTTTTTTCTTGATAAGAGTAGTGCACTATAATTCCTTAAATTTATGCTTGAAAGTCACACACAACAGCAGTTCCATATGCATTTTCATTTGATTGCCACAACAAATTTAAATACACGGACTTGCATTGTTTTCCTCCTTTCATTGTAGCCTGAGATTATAAAATAAGGGTTTTCTTTGACCTTCTGATTTAGGAAATCTTTTATTAATATTCTACTACTACATTTGTTAGTCAGTAGGAGGGAAAGCTTATCTTAACCTTCAACAAGAATGTATTTTGAAGCTATGGAGTTACTGCTGGTGATGTGTGAATACAATGTATCCTTTATTGTTGAGACTGTCATTCTAGTAGGAATTAACAGCACCTACATATTTTAGCTTTACATACATTGTAGTGATAAATGCCTTATGTTAAATTTATCTCCTGACTATTAAAAATGTAAAGCCATATAAATCAAGTATACTTTCCAAAAGAATATAGTATAAATGTCTTTAACTGTGTGTAGCATCGCAAGTACCCAAAACCCACACTTCTCCAGAACCTTTATTTTTAGATCTTCGGTTTTAAGCTGTCATAAGTTTTTGCCAGTGGACATTAATATATACCTTCTGGGCTCAGAAAGGGAGGGGGGAAGAAAGACAGGAGCTATAAAGAATGTAAGGGGGGAGGCATGAAAATTTAAAGTATTTCTGATTTGCCTTTTTCACAATTACATGTAGCTGTTAAAAACATTACATTTGAAGGTGAATTTTCAACGTTTTTGAAGACTAATAGGCCAAAGCCTGATGGAAAAATTCTGAGGTCTAGATTTCCTCTAACAGGTGGGCAGATACGACCCTGAATGAGGTTGTCAGCTAACTGATTACATTGCTTCCTGACCTGAACTAATTTTCTACTCTTCTTTCTCTCCCTAATTATTTCTCCATCTTTTTCTTACTTGTCCTCAACTTTGAATTTTACTTTTCCAGAAAAAAATGTCATTATAAACAAACTCTAGAACTAAGTAAAAATACTTAAAACAATAAACATTCTTTCCACATTCTGATGTAAAAGTGAAGTCATCGAGCCAATTTAAAATAACTAATTTCTATTATATCATAGTAGGACATAGTTTTTCAATTTCTTTGAGATTCTTTAAAATCACAGAACCTGTAAACATTCTGACTATTGTGGCACTAAGGGCCCTTAACGAGCAGTTGTCGCTTTAAAGAACAAGTTGCTTAATGCACATTAAAGTACAAAGCCATGTACAAAGTATGAGATTGCAGTTTAGCGCTGTAAAGGCAAATTAGATGAATGACCGATAGATTAATCTCGTATGATCGGACGTCGGGGGCAGCCCGGAGTAGGACTGAAGGTCCTTGGTGCGCAGGGGAGCTCGGGTGCACCTCTGCTGAGTTTTCCACCCCTGCGCTCTTCGATTTCGCACGGTGCTGATGGTGGCGGCGTTTGAGGACTACGGGGCCAACCCATAACTGGTCTTATGAGGGCAAAGTCCTACGTCTGTGGACCTACTGCTTTCCCCACGGGGTCAGGAAGCGCTGGCATCTCTGGCAGGTGGGGCATTTGCCCGGCACCCTGGATCCCACTCGCAGTTTTCTCCAATCCAGCAAGTCCCGCGCCTTGTGTGCGCGCCGCCCAGCTCTCCGCTCCTTCGCGGAGGAGCTTAGGGGAAGGCAGGGGAAGGTGGGCGTGGGAAAGCTCAGACCTCTGATGCTTAAGGGTGTCTTGTGTGTCTCTGCCGCCGCCAGACCCAAATCCGAGCACTCAAGTATCGTCCTAGGTACTCCGGAGGCGCCTTCGCAGTTTCTCAACCCGTTGGTGTTCATTGTCTCAACTGCCCTGCACGAATGCAAACATCGAACCTGTAAGAAAACAATGCAAATGTCCTTCCTTTCAAGGTTTTTAAGTTCTAAGGCCGTGCGCAACCGAATTTAGAAATCTAAATTTTAGCCATTCACCTACTAAAATCAGATTCCCTATTCCCCGCGGCAAGGTTAGCTGTCAATCTCCGTCCGGCCGGGTCCACTCAGCTCGTGGGAAGCCTCTTGCCGCCCACTCCAGCGGGTCACGGAGCGGAGATCCCGCAACACTATCCCTAGCGGTCAATTGCTCTTATTTCTAGCCAAGGGTAAAAAAGCCAACAAACAAAATGCATGTTGTGTTTTGTTTGTTTTCCAATAGCTTATTTAAAGAATGATGGCCAAGAGAGAATACGTTTGATTTTTGTATGTGCACAACATGAGAATAGAGCTCTTCCCTACTGCAAAATAGTTTGCTGCAAGTTAGCCAATTTTAGTGGCAAAACTTTTATTGCAACTCACCGAAACAATTACTGAGTACGAGGTTACATGAAATATTCTAAAAACTGAAATAGAGGGTATTTCATTCAAGTGTAGGTAAAATTTTAACGCAAAACCGAATAAAACCAAAAAGATTCTCCTAGAAGCTTCTACTAACTTCCTTATTAAAAAAAAGTAATAAAGGTTGTCCTGTAATCCGTTATCTCGATGCTTGCTAGGGAGAGCAAATTCCTGCCCAAATGTGGATGCTGTTCGCAACTCATCATGAGTCTCCTCTGAATTTTCTCCAGATGCTCATCAATTCTCACTAGCAGTAAAGGGCTATTTGTTTTATAGTATATATACAGATATAGATATAGATAGATATGTATACACACACATATATCCTAATTCCCTGTCTCATTGGATTTGAGCATGACATGCAGCTGCATTTTTTTTAATGGACTGAAAATAATTAACATACAGGGTTCTTATCCACACTTGTTAATGTTACACAGTGGGCAATAGCATTCCTGCTTTGAACTACATCTGAAATTTATATTGCCACCACAATAGTTTTCTTCTCTGCACAAATTCATACCTGAATGTCCAATCAATGGGCCTTCATGTGATTATGGTTACAAACATTATGAAAGTCTCTTAAATCATAAGTATTCTAAGTATTCCATGCAGTTAACAAAGCAAATCTTTAGTAGGTGCTTGCATTTAGTGAACAGGATTGAGACTCTGGTTTGCTTTAAAATTGAAAGTAAACAATCGGTAGCAGAATGGAGTTTGAACACAGCATTTGTGTTCTAAGCAAAAAAGCCTTAAATACAACTGGGCTATACCCCCACCTTCCATACACAAAACACCCTTCCTGTATCCTTCAACATTGCACACACTTTCACACACCACACTTCAATTTACAACCCAATGCAGATTATAGAAAAGTACCTGCAATCCCTGCTGTTTCCTCTCTGCAACTGTGATTCTGGATTTTGATTTCTGTGCCTCAATTAGAAAAGATAAGTTAGATTGTTGTTAAAACTCAACATTTTGAAAAATGTCATATCTTGCAAACTGCTTTTCCGAAGCTGAGTTTTGTTGTGGCTTCTGTTAAACTTTGAAGGGGCTTTGTTCCTCAGACCCTGCGCCAGTCCTCCCTCTTGGTCTCGAAGACACTTATCCTCCTCTTCAGTTAATGAGTTTCACCTAGTCTGGCCATTTGTGTTTTTATAAAAGATCTGCAAAGCACTAATTGCAAAAGAAGAAAAAAATTTGTTTTGCATTAATCAGAATGTGTAGTTCTATAGTAAAAACATTTTCTATGTTAGGGTTTCAAAAATTAAACTTCATCCTAATTTCAGGATGTACAGACATAAACTACACATTTCTGGGTGTAGAATGTTAAGCCTCTACAGCAATTACTTCTGGCTTGAATTCTTTACTACTTAAAGGAATGTTGAAAGGAATAAAAATAAGCCCACACCAAATACACTTGCAGAAAATATTATATAAAGAAGGCTGCTTGTCATAATGATCTTTTTGATAGAGAGTTCATTTAGACTAAGGCATTTTTGGTTCTGGAAATAAATTATCAAAGAAAAAATTATCAATGAAGATTTATTTTCTTTATATATGTTACATGGAGCCCATAGTCTATAAGCTATTCTTGCTTTTGTTAAATGTGGGATTGTAAAAATATATATATTGGAAATAATCAGATGTATTCTAGAAGTAAAATTTCAGACTTCTGGTACTAGTGTGAAGGTGTGGAATCAATATTAACAAGCATTTTGAAACTGGCATATCAGTAATAGTTATGGTAGCTTTCTTAACATTTTCAAAGTTAATTCTATTAGCATGCAAAAACCCAAAGCAGGAGAATTGTAGCTCTATTATGCCATTTTCACTAATTTAATTGTTCAATTTTTATGTAAATGTTTTTAAACATTGGTTCTCATTTTCCAAACATGTATTCATTTTCCCTTGATAAAGTCTGATCCTGTTGCTTCCAAAATAGTTTATTTCCCCCTCTTTAAGGGACTGGAGCATTTCTGTTTATATATATATATATATATATAACAGTTTAGATATAGTGCAAGTTTAACTTCTAAAACACCTTCTTAGTGATTCCCTTTCCACATCTAGAAAATACCCAAACAATGAAGTGAAATAAACGTTTCAGCTTCAAACTAGTTCTCGGACTTCACATGTGGGGTGTCAGTAACTGGTCTAACCATTTAAAAATCATGTTTGATCCGTGTTCTGTCTTTAATTGTCATTGGTTTTTATAAGTTCACTTCTCCAAGTTTCTTTCAGTGTCTTTACTCCAAGGCCAGTATTCCCTTTTAACGCGTTTTTTGAAATCACGAGTAAACTGAGTTGTACTGTCACATCATGCAAACTAGTGTAAAAAACCAAGCCAAAACAAAGCCTATACAATTTAGTGAAAAAGAAATGACCACTTGACTTTTACCAAGTACTTAAGGTTCTTTTAAGTTATATTTAAATATACATTTGAAACATAGGAAATATAAATTGGCATATTAAAGAGTAAATACATTATTTTGTACAATAAAACACCAATAAAATTGGTGTGCAATCCCTATTAAGTTAGGAATATGATGGAAAAATTATATCTTAATTACTTATTCTTCATGTCCTGGTTCAAGTCAACAAATTGTCTTATTATCTTCCTTCTTGACATGCTGTGAAATAGATTAAGTAACTGATATCAATATTAGCAATTTTGCTGCTTATTCTAGTTTCATCAAGATATTCAAATTCAGTGACTGCCTTAGAAAGAGTAAATAACATGTCTACAGAAGGACAGAATATATTTATTTTATCAGTTGATTTTGGGAGACCGGATTCCATACAAAAAAAGTAGCTTACAACCTTCTTTCTTATGATGAGCTGAATCTTAGGGCAGAAAATCCCCTTTCAGGGTAATATACAACACTTATTTGCAAATAATAATCAAAACATTTAAAAATCGCATTAAATTTAAAAAGCTCTATCACTCCATATAAGCAGTATTTTGATCATGTTTATTCCATTTCTGTATTACCTAAATGGCAATAGTTCCTCTGCAATAATGTTGCTATGTGCATGATCCACCTTGAGCCACAGTTCAATTTAATTTCAATCAAACATTAATGAAATTGCACTTAAGGGGGGCCCTTCGAAAATTAATCTCCCGAGATAAGTTCACTTCAAAAAGAATTCACTGTGAAAGCTGGGGTTGATTTTTAGAGCTACAAACACAGACAAAGTTTTCAACTTTTAAAACTCTTGAGAGCTTTGGTTAGGAACTTGGTGGATGTGGATTCAGCCAGCTTTTCGCATAATTTAAGAAGATCTGGAAGGCGGAGATCGTCATCTCGAAGCCTCCTGGTGGATGTTACATAATTAGGTCCTGAAACTGTCGCTCTCCCCACCCCCAGCAAAGAGGATCTGCCCCCTCTCCACGACCCGTTCGTTTTTTGATCGCTTTGTATACAAGAATCAGCGTCGGTGTGGTTTCCCCAGCCGTTCTCGCAGTTCCTCGAAGACCCATCGGGCCGCAGGCAGGACCCCGCCTCCGGGCGCCCGCGCGGTCACCACGTCCTGCCATAGAGCAGGTTGGCGCCGAGCACGCCACCGCCA